CGAGGTGAGGTTGACTGTTTGAAACTTCAAAAAGCCAACGCCGTCTCCAAAGAATAAACAGTTAACTGACATCCTGTCAAAAAGCGAGAGCAGGTGTTGTTATCTGGGTTAACAGCTAACGAATGGAAAATGCTGAAGTGTGAAAACTCGCTCGTATATATTTTGAAAAGGTGTTGATATTGTGTAGTAAGAAAATGTTTAGCTGTGGTTAGCACAAAAGGTCAGACATCCTGTGTTAGCGTATAGGAGATAAACTTTGTTTGAACCTCCTCGTATATATTTTTGGAGGTATGTGTGTGTGTATGCTATGCTTGATGTTATGATGTAATGGTATTACAACCCACTGAAGCAAGGGGTGTGACCAAGTGTTTAGTGTAACTTGCATTTATCCAATAGGGGAGATTTAGTAAATGCTTTGCAGGAGAGAAATATTGTACACGCCCTATCCTATATAATCCAGGGTTTTATCAGTTTTGGGCTGCCGCAAATCGGGTGAAGACTACTCGCTGTTACTTTCTTGTTATTTGCTTATGAGTTATTGTTTTTAATAAAGCGAAACCATTTGTATATGGTGATTCGATAAACTTTCTTTTAAACAAGTCTCTGAGTAATTTATTAAGGGTAACCTATTATCTGAATGTAGTTCATAAATCTCCAATACGAGCTTCATAGAGGTGAGAACTCTGCTGAGCTGATCAGGAAATCTTGCTGAGGATCCTGGATCTCATATTACACTTCCCATCCATATAAGAGGTAAGGGCTGTATTTGTTTATGACAGCTGCTGATGGGGGAAAGATGTGATTATAAGATTTATTGGCTCTTTACATGCAAAATTATATAACACTTTCCATAATTAAATTTCTCATAAAGCTTTTAAATATTAAACTATATTTCATCGCACACCTGTCTGTCTGCCTGTCTACATCGGTAACTGTTTTAACATTATTTTTGTTTGATACGTGGTTTTATAGATATTTTGCCGTTTAAAACAGAATTTGGCGCGTTTTTGATCATCTACCGTTGGTTTCGCCTCGCGGTGATGACGTCATCACTCGCACGCGCTGCAATGTGGAGTTTCTGAGGTGAGCAGTTCACGCTATTTCACGTAATTGTAAAATACACATTACATAGTTTGTTTAATCAACGTTTTACGGGGTCTGAATAGTTTTTTTTTTTATCGAGCTCAGTGCTATTTGTGTGCCTTCTAACACTTATAGGTGTGTAAAGAAGACGTTGTCTTGTTTCTCTTCACATACAAAACGGTAGAGGGAACTGTTTTGTTGTTGTGAATGTAGTTATTAGAAAATCGAAATATTTATATTCATATGGACAAATAAATAAATAAAGATAGTTGTCAATGTCTTTATATTAGTATTTTTTCTGTATCACTTGAGAAGTAATTGTCATAGAACGATTTCATAGGCTTTCAGCATATTTGACTCAAACAATCAGTTTCTTGTTTGTTTATAGTCTGAGGCTCAATAATTGTAATAATTGTGATACTTTTCATTAGAGCACTTAAATAGGCTTTCAGCATATATTGTGACTAAAACAATCAGTTTCTTCCAGCAAACACTCAGAATAAAGTGAGATGATCTGCTGCTGATCCTGAATGGCTTGTTTAATGAGTGTTTATAGTACCCTCTTTATTTCATGTCAATAGATCCTGTTTTCACCTCATTCATTATGCTGATGACTTCAGATCTGTTAATTGCCACATTAAGCTCATTTTATTGCTGTCAACAGACTGCAGCAAACAACATGATCAGCTATTGTGGCATTACAAGATATAGACGAGTATTATGATAGTATTTATTTAATGAATCTGTGATCAACCTTGTTTCATATAAAACACAAAACTAAAACATACAATTACAAATTATGTTAAACTCAACTGGTTTAATTGCTCCTCACAAATTCTTACAATATTTTCTGTTGATCATTTTTCTTCTTACATGGTTTATTATTTGGTATCTGTGTGTGTGTTTTGCCTATATATTAGTGAGAAGTGGACAAACCCAGCAATTGGGTTGTTTTGACCCAGTGGTTGGGTTACTACCCAGAAAGTTGGGTACCACTGGGTCAAAACAGCCCAATTGCTGGGTTTGTCCCTATTTTACCCAGCACTGGGTTGTATTTAACCCAGCATTTTTTAGAGTGTGGGCGGCGGTCCGTTAGCAGTTCCCCGTCGAACACGACTCCAGCTCGGGCACGAGAACCAGCGCCGTTACGATGGAAAAAGAATAACAGAGATTGGTCGATTACACGTGAATTACTTCTGTTTAATGTTGAATTTTTGTTCTAATGTTTGTTAAACGAGTTTAAATATAGGCAATATGTATATGGCAATATGAGTGCAGCGTTTCACTCTAGCCGAAACATGCTGTGACTCCATAACCTGCCAATAAACAAACAATAAACAGCTCTGTGGACATGTTTTAACATCCAAACAAAGTAATATTCTGTATCTTTATTAATAAAATCGTTTATTTTATGCAAAGCATCAGGCTTTTCCATCACGCAAAAAGACCACGACACTCGTTAAAGGTGATTCACACCGCGCGCCTGTATGTTACTCTGCATAAAATTTAACTATATACAGCACAGTAACGATTTTATAGATAAAATAAAATTTACTCAAACCTGTATTTTACCGAAGAATGCATCAATTCGACGGCGCTTAGAACTGCTCTCTCGTGAAGTGAAGACGGGAAATCCCCACGATAAATAACTCAACCGCTGGGTTACGTCTGGCCCTGGATCTGAGTAACACTAAAACTACCCAAACATACGGTCTTTCAGCCGGTCAGCCTGATATGCTTGGAGCATCACCATCGTGTGCAATTTACATTTCACCAGGTTAAAATAATATCTCAAGCTTTATGCTTGATTTATTTCTAACACATTAACCTCAAAACCTTTTCATCTTTCTCTTTCTACAAATTGTATGGTGAAGCGATATGACGGCACCCAAAATACAATCAAACACTCCAACGCAGCTCCATTCTTCGCGAAAGATGGATAAAAAAAAATGCGCACCGGAAACAAAAACCTCGAAAAATGATATACGACCCGCCAAATGCTGGCCAAATTACAGAGATGCCGATTCGCACGGGACTAATATCATCACAGGACCTCGGTGTTCGGCGAAATATGGTAGGTCATTTGCGGGGGAATTTTTACTTTACAAATTACAGATATGGCCGATTCGCACGGGATTAAGATCACAGACAACCTCCGCAATTATTACAAATGACTGGAGGTCACCAGGTAATACTAATTCCGTGCGAATAGGGCTTAAGGTTAAAAAGTTACTAGCCAACCAATGCTTTACCTCATTAAGACATGCAAATAAGGTTTGTATAGCTGAAGGGTCGTTTCTTTTAATAGGCAGATAGATGGGTATTATCTGCATAAAAATGGAATGATACACCATGCCTTCTCAGAATCGAACCTAAGGGAAGCATGTAGAGAGAGAAAAGCAGAGGTGCTAGAACAGATCCCTGGGGAAGTCCTGATTCGAGATGAGCAGCAGAGGAGGTAAAGTTGCCAATTCTGACTGAAAAATATAGCTCCGTTGAAATATGATTCAAACCTATTCAAGACTGAGCCTTTAAGCCCCAAAAAAGATTCTAGTCTAGACAGGAGCAACTTCATGCATGTTCTCTGATCGGATAGCTATCCGATCGTGAAAAGACCAGGTGTAAATGCCCTCCGAAACCCTTTCGAGATCTGATCGCTCAAACCACTTCAGGAGCTGGTCTGGGCCGCATTCCAGATGAAACTGTACAAGTGTAAATTAATCTGGTTGTTGAACCCACATATGTAAAATGTACTCCTCCCAAAATGTAAAAACAAAAAATAAACGTGTGAGAGCATGTTATGGGCTATATGATATGTTATAGTCAGATATGAAAGCGCTAATGCATCACGGCTATCGCATCGGATGAGTTTCTGAGTATCTCTTCAGCAAACCGACAAACTGCTGCAAATGAAACAAAGACACAGACGCTCATCACACAATCATCTTCATTAAAAAGTAGTGAGACTAACTTATCTTTACAGTGCTGACGCCATGCTCTTTCCTGTTGTGGTCTTTGATCTTGAAATTAGCTGATAATGAATAAAATGCAGCGCTTGTCTGTTGCTTTTATTGATGTGAATTCCAGTAAATTTGCGTATAGCACGGGAATTGAAGATCGGATTTATATCCGTTTTGCGAAGACACATTTATGTGGCCAAGTGTAAATGGAAACGTTTTAACAAATCGGATAGATATCATATCCGATCTGCGAAAATGCATGAAGTGACCAGGTGTAAACAGGCCCTCAATGTTTTTAGTCTGAGGATCAACAATATTATCACAGCTGCTGGAAACCCATGTCAATAGTTAAATTACCACATTAAGCTCATTTAGTTGGTGTCAACAGACTTAGGCAAACTATACACAATGCGTTATTGTGACATTACAAGATATAACTTTTTATTTTTAAGTCAATTATACATTATTTGTTCTTAAACTATTTTTTTTATTAAACTCGTTTCATTTTTTTAATTCTTACATTGCTTATATTTGTTTTCTTTTCATTTAAGCTTTTTTTTTTTTTTGCCTAGCCTATATGTATATATATATATATATATGAGATATGGCAGGTAAATATAGGAATAAAATATGTGGATGAAATTCCTAAAAATAAAAAGAGACAAAAATGGGAATAGAATTTGTGAATGAGTAAAAAACAGTTTGCAATTAATTAGTTATATTACTAAATAGCTAGATAGATAAACATAAATACTTAAAATATGTGAATTAGTGTAAATGTGTACGAAGTGATTTATCATTTGATTTTGACAGATCTGCAAATCTTACTGTACAGCGATCACAATCACACCTTCAGTGAAGCTCCTCCCACAACAATCACACCTTCAGTGAAGCTCCTCCCACAACAATCACACCTTCAGTGAAGCTCCTCCCACATTAAATCACACCTTCAGTGAAGCTCCTCCCACTGCAGTTCAGCAATAAATGCTGGAATATTCCCATCAGTCTACAAGTGAAGACGAGCATCAAAGCATCAGGAAGAAGTGAAATCTGCAGAGACAGAGTTTATTGAAGGACAGAGAGAACATGAGAGATCCAGAACCCTGCAGAATGAAACGCACTGAAGAACAAACAGGTTGGTGTTTAATCTTGATACTTCATCAATGAGACTGAAGAACAATAAGGTTATGAAGCTTCAAGTAGTTTGTCAGATTTTGATTTGTTGTAACGCAAAAAAAAATATATAGAGCTGTGCAAAATTATAGTTGAAGCAGCAAATTACACTCTTAAAAAAAAGGTTCTTAAATTGTTCTTTGGCAGGGTGTATGGTTCCATGAAGAACCTTTAATATCCAAAGAACCTTTCCATTGCACAAAAGGTTCTTTGTAGCACAGAAAGGTTCTTTAGACTATAAAATGGTTCTTTACACTCAACATGTTGTTGAACAAGTAAGCTAAATTGTCCTGCCTGGTCCAGAATTCATTCCAGACTAATTTTCTATTAGTTGCGTTCAATTATAGTGCAATATGAAGTATTAATTTTGAGTTAGTGTAAGTTAGTAATTTTGAATAGTGTTGTGTTTATTAATAAAAAAAGACCAGTAGATCAGTCCTTTTATATCTAGCCTATTACATCTATTTCTATTATTTTGCATAACTCAAAAAAATATATATTAGGCTAGTTATTTAACAAAAGCAAAGTTTAGTATAAAAAATACGGCAATCATGTTTTCAATTAAATAAAAAGGCTGAGTGATACAAAATCTTAAAATATATATATAAGTGCCACTTTGTCCCACTATCATACATTTTGCATCTATTTGAATTGGTCATAGAACTACAAAATGAGTTTCAAAGTCGCGATTTAATAATGATTTAATGAGATTTTAAGCTGTTTATGTGGTGTTCTAATTCTAGACGTTTATTTATGTAAATGCTGCGTGACTTTGACGTGTTTTAATGGTCGTGCATGCTGAATACTGGATTTGCATTCAAACACTGCAGTGGAGGGAGTTGCCATGGACGGGGCTACAACACCAACTGACAAACCGTAAATCTCAGTCTCTCGCTGCTGTTTTCACTGCTTTCAGGTGAGTTTAGTCCCTAAAATCACACAAATATCACATACACCTGTTCCATACACGTTCTTACATGTAATTGACACGTTTCTGTTGAATATTTACTTCACAGGAATGGTTTACCCAGGCAACGATTATGCAAAACCAATGTAACTCACCTATCGAGAAGAAACAAACCAACCTCGCCGTCCGATCGCAGGCCTTCCCGCTCCTTTAGTTCTCTCCAGTGCTGGAAAGCTGATCCGATATTTACACGGGACCTGCTTCTTGCCTTATCGCAGTGTTTCTCAATCCCAGTCCTCACACACCCCGCGCTGCATATTTCGTAGGCCTATGTATCTCTTATCACATATGATGTTTGTTCTATTTGACCGTAAGTGCCCTACGAAGTGGACATCACCGGATATTCCGCCATGATTCCAGTTCAAAACGAAACGAGTGTATATGTTCCATTCAGAGGGCATTAAAGTGTGCGAGACGTGAATTTAAATTGTATTTATTTACAGAGGTATATTATGTCACGGCACAAATCCGTGAATGAATGTTCCGAAGTGAAGTAAACGTCAACGGATTTCCCCTGCTCAGGGAAGGGAGCAATGGACACCGTGTAGGGATCATATCATTCGGAACACAGTTCATGCACGTCGCTCTCTTCTAACGAGCTGGTTATCTGAATCAGGTGTGTTAACCCTTTAACGCGTACGATCACACTGGTGTGATCACTCTAGGCTGGTCCCTGGAGCATACGATCACACCGGTGTGATTAGAACGTTCAGTGCGTCATGTGATCAACTGCTGAATTCAAAATTCAAATCTGCTTTCGCGCTTTTCCTGGCGCAGATTCAGAGACAGACATGCTCGCTTGTCATATTATCACAGTGTTTTCAACCATTTAATGCTTATTTTAGGTTTCAGACATCTTAATACACATAAGTACTAGTAAAACAATAAATGCATAGTTTGTAAAATACACACCGATGTCTATGGAAGTGGCAATAATAATCCATTCAATTATAATTTGACGACATGTTTTATTGATATCATATACACATATGTAGGTAACTTTAAAGTTTAGTCTACACTTCTTCCAGTTCACCGGAAACTTACTTTAATGCCTTTCGGGAGGAGAATACGTGTCGTAAATCCCACAGCTCGGATTCAGCGCAAACTAACATGGCAGCGCCCATCACCCACTATAGATCAACTAACATGGTCATTATAAAGGTGTTTACACTACCAAATACATTTACTTACACATATTTGAGAATCAGAATATCAGATATTTCATAATATAGTGAACACGTCAGTGAATATTTTGAATAAAAAAGGAAAAACTAAAAAAAAAAAAAGCGATGCATGTGTCATACAACGCTATTGTGACTGCGGTGTGTCAAAATGCAATGAAGTGTCATTGCATTTTAATGTTTTTGTTAGCCTATCCAGTTGAAGCCACTATATGCGGCGCTGCTGCGTTGTTAATTACAAATAATGCGGGAAAAGAGAACATCAATGCGGAGAAGATCTTGTTTACGTCAAAACTGAAACCAAGCCGTTCACACAGAACGCATATTTCGCGCATTTTCTAGAGGGACATATATCACCGTTGCACTCCCGTCTCGCACAAACGAGCCGCATGTTTAGAAAGCCATGTAAAATTAATGCAAGTTCAACTTTGAAAAAACATATCTCAAGACTTTATGGCGATTGTTTTTTTCCCCATCCCACTGCAACTAGTGTTTTTAAATGAAAAATGTACTAAAGAGCAGCATGTTTAGAAAGCCATGTAAAATTAATGCAAGTTCAACTTTGAAAAAACATATCTCAAGACTTTATGGCGATTGTTTTTTTCCCCATCCCACTGCAACTAGTGTTTTTAAATGAAAAATGTACTCTGTGTGATTGGCTTTCCGCCCTTTGTATTAAACTATGCATACATACATGATGGTGTTTTGTTTATAGTTGTTTAAGCAACTTAATTATAATTGGTTTATAAACATTATTTTAAACATTATGCACTTTTTTCACAGATAGTCATGATATCGTATGCTTTGAATAAAAGTGGATTAGTAATATTTTGCTTGATGCGCCCTCTTGTGGCCTCAGGAGAGAAGCCAAAAGCTTTTCTTCACCCTAACTGAAATTATGCATTTTAAATTCGAATATAATTCGAATTTTGATAATATTTAAGTACAAAAAGATATCTCTAGTAGGTGGCGGCAAGTCACTGATTTTATTACTGAATCATTCATTCAATTGATTCGTTCGAACGGCTGATTCATTCAGGAACGAAGCAAGTGACTGTCTTCGTAAATGGGTGATTGAATCATTGACTCACTAGATTCATTTAAACACGCACGTTCATTCATAAACGAAATACCACTGTGTTTGCTCGGCAGCGGCTCAGCTCTGACTTTGTTTGAAACTATTTATGTTGACGAAATCAGGCAATATTGTTAAAGTCAAACAATGTAAGTCCCTTAATATTAACTTGTTTATTTAACTGTAATATTAATTCAATATCACATTTGCAAACACCCAATTCTCTTTAAAAGTGGTCACTCACAAAGTTCATCGCGATCTCACAAAGTTCCATTATAATCAACGAATCTCTTATTTACACATCTGCACTTTGTTTATTATAATGAGAGGGTTCGTGAGCCTTCAGAAATCAGCGCTGAACAAAACTCCAGTATTTTGAGCAGTGAGTGTATTGTGATTAACATTGCGTTCAAGGAATCAACAGATATGTCTGCGATTACTCAACGCTGCAAAAACACTTTGTAGGTAAGAACCATTGAAGCTCCCCTGAGCGCAAACACAAATATTGTTACCTAGTGCTTATATTGCTTAAATACCATTAATCGGATGGATTTGTGGCCCAAGATGCTGGGATAGGCTTCAGCCCCCATGACCCTGCAGAATAAGTGGTTTGGAGAGTGAATAGATGAATGGATGAACTTCCAAAATACTTTGACTTGCTTTGATTTTGTTTCTGTTCTTACTGCTGTTCAGCTTAAAAATACCTTTCCATTATCTTTGTTTGTCATTTTGCATCATTATACTTGTGCTAAACCTATGAAAATTAAGAAACTAATGAAAGGGTTTTTGTTTTTTTTGACAGGATTCTATGTACCCAGCCTCAACCATTAATCAGAAGGATGGGATGAAAAAGGGCATAGTAGTGGATGATGGGGGTACTGACATTAACCTGCTGCATTCACTATATCACACACTAGGGATGGACATTGTTGTCAATGTTTCATTTCAAGTACTGATAGGTCTTTATTTTGATGGTCTGGACGGCATGCTGTTCTAACACTAACTAGTCAGACCTCCGGTACCACCCAAAATGCTACCATAACCAATCAGAAAAAGAGAAATATGTGAAGTACTCAGACTTCACAGCAACGATTGATCATGAAAACGGTGATTGCAGTGACTTTAAAAAATGATCAATAATTGCTGTCTAGTCTGAGTACTCTAGTACTTGTTCACATCCCTATTAAACACACACACACAGTATAGAGGTATGATGTATACTGCATTGATGTATATTGTAAATGCAATAAAAATTTTAATCATGTATCTTGTCAAGTCTTTTTACTTCTGGATTTTTAATTTTTTTTTTTCAAAATGATTTTATGAACAATCCTATTAAAGACATTTTATAGTATGATACATGTGAGGATATTGATCTGGAGAAAATGGGGCCATAAAGAACCTATTCATCAGTGGTTCTTTGGAGAACCTTTAAAAAGGGTTCTTTGTAGTACCAGAAAAGGTTCTTTATGGCACAAAGTAAAACACCGGTTCTTTAAAGAACCTTACACAAAATGGTTCTTCAGGGAACCAAAAATGGTTCCTCTATGGCATCGCCTCGAAACCCCCTTTTTGGTTCTTCATGGCACTTTTTTTAAGTGTATAAGGGCACTTTCTATAAACTTCTGGAGTTTATTTAATAGTCGCACAATAGAAACGTAACAATAATTAAACGTAATAACAGGAAGATCAATGTACCTCATGTCAAATTTTCAGGAACATGTAATTTATAAAGTGCATCTTTATGATGAAAGATTTGTAGAGCAATCACTTTAATGTCCTTTCCTTTCACATTTCTCTCGGCATGACGAAGCGGATATCATCCTCTTTTGGAAGATCAAACAAAGTAGTTTCGCTTTCACAATGAAGCACACAGCGTCTTTACGACATGGCGGCGGAAACAACAAAACTACAGCGAGAATAAAAGTTACGCCTTCTTTCTTTGCGTGAACATTTGGGCGGCGTTATGCAAATCTTCCCACATAGTGAGGTAGATATGTGGGGGCGTGTTAGAACGAGCCGTTTTAAGTAGGCGTGGCTGACTCTTAACTTTTATAAAGAATATCTCTTTGGATTTGAGACTTTAGTCTTTGCAATCGCGTTCATAATCGAATGCGACTCATCTGCGATTATGAACGCGATATAGCAGTGATCTATGGCTCCGTGTATTAAATGCCGCTCCATCTGAAAGCACGTGATGGAGATTACTATTCACCCGCATTTTGCATAAAATTAAAAATTGACTTTTCAATACTGACCAGATACAATACTGATTTTGGCGGAAACTCACATTTTAAAAAAAATGGCGTTTATCGCGTTTTGGAACCAAACTCTTCATATATCCAATAGTTTGTGCAGAGAAAGCTAAAGCGCGCTTTGCAGGACATGGAGGCGCCAGCGCAATCACTTGCATTTTTTTCAGTGGATAGGCCTACGCCATCATTTTTACTCATAAAGTTAAGAGTAATACATCATTCGTAACTGTAAAGGTTCTACTTTAGGGACAATTACAATATTAATAAAACGTTGTGCTTTTATAAAATAAAGAAAACAAACATGATGCGCTTTCTGCTGTCTCGTCTTGAACAGGAGCGCTTCACAAAAATGAACCAATAAAACAGTTCAAATAACAATGTTTAAACGTTAAACCTAGATAAATGTGCGCTGTTAGACGCATATCCAATAGTTTGTGCGGAGAGTGGAAGCTAAAGCGCGCTTTGAAGGACATGAAGTCACCAGCGAGATCACTTGCATTTTTTTCAGTGGAAACAACTTTAAATAGCCTATGCATAATTTTTACTCATAAAGAGTAATACATGATTCGGAACTGCAATGTGTCTACTTTTATTTGTGTGCACTCACAATATCAACAAAACGTTGTGCTTTTATAAAATAAAGAAAACAAACATGATGCGCTTTCTGCCATCTCGTCTTGAACAGGAGCGCTTCACAAAAATAAATCGAAACTCATCGAATACATGCCTCATAGACATGATAAATATATCTATAGAAAGCTTTAAATTCTATGGTAATTAAACAATGTTTACATATGAATAAAAACATACATTAAAATCTGTCATATAAATTGGTCTCTTCATTAAAAATGTGCCTACTGATTGCCACCATTGATGGACAAAAAAATTAATAATATAAAAAATATCTGTATGACAGTATATTCTGCAGTTCTTCCCTGCTGTACCAAATATCTATACTATTCAAAGTATCATATCGAAGTTAGAAATGTAAGTAATGTGACAAAATTAATTTTGTAGGGTGCCACAAATTTGTTACAATTTCCAAACTACCCCTTTAATGACAATCGGTAGCATGTTCAGTACTGTCACTTTAAGACCTACACACATCTGTTTTTCTCTCAGCTATTTACCTTCACTTTTTTTAGTCATGGCTAGACTTGTGCCGGTTTTCGGTAATGCGATATATCACGGTAATGAATATGCACGATATTGTTATCGTGGGCTCTTCTAAATACCGTGAATAATTTATATATTACAAGTTATTCAGAATTGTGAATGCATTTTAAGAATACTTTTCCCATCAACTTTATCAACTGAAAAGACGCGTGCGCACTCTGATGTAAATAAGCACGGACAAGAAGCACATGGCGGAACATGTGAGAGACGCTCTGGATGAAAGCGCACTTTCACTCTCTGACAGCAGATGGCGCTAAACTGCAGAAATAATAATAATAATTCATTTAAATGAAACCCTGTAAACAAAGCAGCTGCTCTGTTTCTGAATTGTGTTTAAATGATTTAAACAGCCATTCAGATTTGTGTATTTGCTATGATGTTCATCACAGTGCCAAATACTTAAATATTTAGACTTCATAGGCTATTTATTTTCAATCTTTTTTTACATTTTAATCTGGACTATAACATTTGTTTGAAAGTGTTTCGATTCTTTATTGTTCGGTCACACTTTACATTAGGGCTTCATTAGTTAACATTAGTTAACGTAAACTGCAAATGAAAAATTCTTCTGAACATGAATTAATCTTAGGTATTCCAATATTTAATAACACGTTGTTAAAATTGAAAGTTGCAACTGTGTTATTTAATGAGCTAACATGAACTAAGACTTAATAACTAATAATTAATAACTTCTGTAGCAAATGTAGCTATTGCTCATTGTGAATGTTAATGCATTAACTAAGGTTAACTAATGAGGTCTTATTGTAAAGTGATACCTATTGGTCTTTATAGTTCTTTTGCACTTTAATCTGTGTAAAATTTTTAACTTTATACATTTTTCTGTATTGCTTTATTGCATTTAAATGTTCAGTTATTTTTGTTATAAGAAAAAAGTTATTAAACCTGTTATACTGTATTATGACAGCACTTTTTTTAAACTAAATTTCAATACCGTGATAATACCGTATACCGTGATAAAAGCATGAGCAATTAATCGCAACATGAAAATTTGATACTGGCATATCCCTAGTCGCGGCACGACTGAACACAAAAGAAGATATTTTGAAGAATGTGGGCAGCCAAACAGTTGCTGGTCCCTACTGACTTTGATAGTAGGAAAAAAAAATATGAAAGTCATTGGGGACCAGCAACTGTTTGGTTAGCCACATTCTTCAAAATAGATTTTATGTTCGTCAGAAGAAAGAAACTCATTCAGGTTTAAACAACTTGAGAGTGAGTAAATGATGACACAATTTAAATTTTTACTTTACTTTAACTTTTAATGTTAATGAAATAAAACACAGAGATTTTAATATATATATATTATAAAAAATAACTCCCTGTTCTTGACTGAAAAACTTTAATACAGTTGCTAAAGTTCAGCAGTAATAAAATAACTTGAAATTTTCAACAACTTTTCACATCATAACTTTTTGCACCAAATAGTATCGATAACAGTATCGATAAGTACCGGTATCTATATCAGTATCAGTATCGATACAATGTAAATGATGCCCATCCCTATCAATGAGGAGTTGGTTTAATATATTTAATAGTTCTCACTATAAAAACATGGGATTTGTGCCTGGAATGTTAAAAACATAACTGGAAGATCAATGTACCTCATTCATGGAAAGTTTCAGAGACATTAAAACGTATAAAAATGCATCAACATGATGAATTTTTTGTATAGTTATTGTCAACTTTCCACTGTTACATTAGGGTTCACTTTTATGTCCTTTCTTTTCACATTTCTCTCTGTGATTTCCTGAAAATAAATGTTTTTACTTTCATTTCAGAGTTGATTGAAGAAAACGAGGGGAATGAAGAACTGAGTGAAGAGAAGGAGAAACATCATGTCAAAACTGGAGAAAAACCCTCGAGTCGCTCTCAAACCAAACAGAAAGATTTAAAGAAAAGAAGAGACAAGAAATCTTTCACCTGCACTCAGTGTGGAAAGAGTTTGAAATGCAATAAAAGTCTCAAAGTTCACATGAGGATCCACACTGGAGAGAAACCATACACTTGTGATCAGTGCGGGAAGAGTTTTACACAATCATCAAAACTTAAGGAGCACATGAACATCCACACCAGAGAGAAGCTGTATGAATGTGATCAGTGCGGAAAAACATTTTTGTGGGCTTTAAGCCTGAAGTATCACCTGACAGTTCATACGAAGGAGAAACCACATTCATGTCCTTTGTGTGGAAAGTGTTTTTCACTGCTGCAAAGTTTAAAAGTACATCAGAAGAGACATACTGGTGTGAGAGAATATATGTGCTTTGAGTGTGAGGAGACTTTTATTAGAGCTGATCAATTGAAACTGCACCAGATGATCCACACTGGAGAGAAACCTTACAAGTGTTCACACTGCAACAAGAGATTCAGTCTTTCAGGAGACCTGAAAAAACATGAGAGGATCCACACTGGAGAGAAACCTTACAAGTGTTCACACTGCAACAAGAGATTCAGTCTTTCAGGAGACCTGAAAAAACATGAGAGGATCCACACTGGAGAGAAACCTTACAAGTGTTCACACTGCAACAAGAGATTCAGTCTTTCAGGAGACCTGAAAAAACATGAGAGGATCCACACTGGAGAGAAACCTTGCATGTGTTCACACTGCGACAAGAGATTCAGTCAGTTAGGAGACCTGAAAAAACATGAGAGGATCCACACTGGAGAGAAACCTTACACGTGTTCACACTGTGACAAGAGATTCAGTCAGTCAGAAAACCTGAAAGCACATGAGAGGATCCACACTGGAGAGAAACCTTACATGTGTCCACACTGCGACAAGAGATTCAGTCGGTCAAATACCCTGAAAAGACATGAGAGGATCCACACTGGAGAGAAACCGTATCACTGCACTGCATGTGGGAAGAGTTTCAGTTGTTCATCTGCTTTACAAAAACATACAAAAAACATTCACAGTAAGTAGATCATCTTCAGATCCAGCACTTTCAGCTCCGACACTGTGTCCTCACAAAATGTGACACAATAATGCCAGTGTTGTAGCAAGTCAGCCCTGGGCCCATATGTAAAAAAAAATTGTATTGGTTAATGTGAGCTCCAACTTGGTTAATTTAACTTATTCTTGTTTTTTCTGAGGTAAATAACATTACGTGACTATTCACATGCTGTTTGATTGACGTATAAATGCTTGGAAATAATATTTAACGTTTTCAAGTCCATTCATTATTTGTAGTTCGCCAGCCACCCGATAATTGTGATAAGCTTTGTGCTTTGCTGCTTTTAATGTAACACAAAGTGTCATCCTTTAAGTTCTGTCGATATTACCATTAAATATTTTATTTAGCCATGGCGATGCAGCATTTGGACGTAGAGCTTCAAAGAACCAAATAATCCAAGATCAAGCGAAATCAGCAACAATCAAATCCAGCTAACTGAGTTAGCGACGTACAAAGAATGGACCCCAGAGCATGAGAAATTCATTAAAATTGGCTTGTTTCGAAGAATATTTTGTTGTCTATGTATACCACGTTTTGTGAAGTTTGGACTTTGTATTCACAAGATATTAGCCAATTAGTCATTATGGGACACCTCCAGAAACATGCAAATGCAAGTTGGATGTACGGCCTAGGAGGAGTTTGAAAAGAAAATAAATACATAAAATAGGGTATAAGTTGTGAGTGGGACTTTCTGCAGGAACATCTAACCATCTATCCTATATTTTATCTATCCTATAGTTGGCATTTGTAGAAGTTGTGTTAATATTATCAATGTCAGATGTATTTTAAAAGCCTTATGGCTTATCTGACTGAGATTGTGTATGGAGGCTGCAAGAATGAGTAATGTGTTCACTGTCTGCAAAGATTATTAAAACCTTGGCAGCTCATATGTAATGTATATGCCTCTAGGACTTCTGGGCAGTTGAAGAGGGTTAGATAAAAAAGTCTTTAATCTTTAAAACATCTTGTCTTGTTTTGACTTCTGTAACTCTGAGCATCTGAACATTATTCCTGCAAGACTGAGAAGACTTTACTCCACTACACCAGTGAAGTCTGATTTTGGCTTCTGGAAAAAGAGAGAAGATTTCCAGAAGTCAGTAAAGAGAGAGAACGGTCTCATTTGTTTGTACTTTTACTCACTTTTGTATTTTTGTAAGAATTAAAAACTTGTTAATAATTCTATGAACAGGTTTTATTATCTCTTTTTATTTTCTGCTGATTCTGTTTGCATCAGGAATAAACGGTTCCATATTTTTCGTGACATCTAAAAGCCACAAACTCTTAGGCTGTAATTGAACTTTTCGGCTTTCAAGTAATTTTGTGAAACAACACAGTTATAGAAAAGTAAAAGTTAAATCTTCAGTCTCCTCCCCAAGGGGTCCTTATCTGCTTTACTCAGAGGAACTGGGGAAATCACAGCTGTCAATTAGATGTCAGACCCAGTATTTATAGCATGAAATAAATTCATGATATGATGAGGGGTCTGAAAGGAGCTTTCATGGGGGAAGTCATGGCCTAATGGTTAGAGAGTCGGACTCATAACCCAAAGGTTGTGCGTTCAAGTCTCGTACCGGCAGGGATTGTAGGTGGGGGGAGTGAATGTACAGCGCTCTCTCCCACCTTCAATACCATGACTGAGGTGCCCTTGAGCAAGGCACCAAACCCCCAACTGCTCCCTGGGTGCCGCAGCAAAAAATGGCTGCCCACTGCTCCGGGTGTGTGTTTGTTTACCTTTATTTAACCAGGAAGAAAACTCATTGAGATTAAAAATCTCTTTTTCAAGAGTGTCCTGGCCAAGATAGGGCCAGGTGTTCACGGTGTGTGTGTGTTCACTGCTGTGTGTGTGCACTTTGGATGGGTTAAATGCAGAGCACTAATTCCTAGTATGTTTACTAGGTTACCATACTACGCCACATGTCACTTCACTCACTCACTCACTCACTAAATAATTAAAACAAACTCTATTAAAAAAAAAAAAAACGAGCACTTCAACATACAGCGTGATAGGATTTGGAACTACCTAAATGACACAAACCATCTTTAGGAAACCTTTGTTTGAAGTGAAGTTTTTTTTTTTTTTTTTTAGTCAAGCTCCATTCGTTTAAATGCAGAGGGCGGGGTTTATGAGCTAAACTGTGCTGAGCCAAACAAATCACGCAATGATTTGACTTCACTTCTCAGGACATGTGCAACACACTCGCGCTGAACAAAGTAAAGTCTGATTTTAGGCACCTGGAACTTCTTTACTCAAGAGTTTTTTTGTTTGAAAATGAGATGAGAGCAGCATCAAGCATAAAAAGCTGCCAAAGCTTTCAGACGAGGAGTCTTCTGAGGTGAGTTGAGCTGTTCACGGCATTTCGTGTATTTAAACAAGTATAAAATACCAGCGGTGTACCTTAAAAGCAACATTTAAGTAAAAGTGTAGATATCTTAACAGAAAATGACTTTTGTAGAAGTTGAAGCCACCGTTTAGAGTTTACTTGAGTAAAAGTTTTACAGTACGTGATAATTATTGTAATATTTTTTTATATTAAACATACTTGAGAATTAAAAGTACAAGTAAATGCAAAATGGAAAAAGGAGTAAATAAATATATAAAAATGGTTATTCACAGTTTGAGTAGCAAGATTGTGTTCAGTTAACTCGTTCTTCAATTTTGTATCTTTGGGTATACATACACTCTTAAAAATAAAGGTGCTTCAAAAGGTTCTTCAAGCGATGCCATAGAAGAACCATTTTTGGTTCCACAAAGAACCATTCAGTCAAAGGTTCTTTAAAGAACCATCTCTTTCTTGCGTTTTTGTAATCTGAAGAACCTTCTTTCGCCACAAAGAACCTTTTGTGAAACAGAAAGGTTCTTCAGATGTTAAAGGTTCTTTATGGAACCATTTAGACAAAAAGGTTCTTCTATGGCATCGTGAAGCACCTTTATTTTTAAGAGTGTACAAGGCAATTCATCTGGTACTTTCTTTCATTTCAACATAAGAAAACATTTCTGGAATCTGAATTTGAAGTGGCATGCATGTACACAGTATAATCAGTGTTGGGTGTAACTAATTACTAAGTAATTAGTTACTCTAATTTAATTACTTTTCCCTTGAAAATGTAAAGTAAGGGATTACTCTTGTTTTTTTCTGTAATTTAATTACAGTTACTTCTTATGTAATTGAACTTAATACTGTGTATAGACTGTAGAACATTTATACACAATAAAATAGTAGATTTAACATCAACATTTAAAGTCTAACCTTAAAATGCATGCTTTTTTATGTACCCTTCTCACTTTAAATACTTTGAGTAAATAAGAATATTGCACACTTTAGTTATCCAATTCTCTTAATAAGTAATTAAATACTTTTTGGAGAGAGTAATTTGTACAGTAATCTAATTACACTGTTGAAGATGTAATTAGTAACTAGTAATTAATTACTGTTTTAGAGTAACTTACCCAACACTGAGTATAATGTAGCTTAGAGGGGATATTAACCTGCCGTTACAAATGCATAAATAATGCTTTGTTTTAAACTTAAAACGTTGAATACTGATATTTGAAATGATTTAAAACATGAAAAATTCCCCTAACAGGGAACGTTCCCACAAGCCTTGCTGCCAAAACAACCATGACCTGTTGAGGCATGGACTCTACTAGACCCCTGAAGGTCTGCTGTGGTATTTGGCACCAAGATGTTAGCAGAAGATCCTTTAAGTCCTGTAAGTTGAGGTCGGGCCTCCATGGATCGGACTTGTTTGTTTAGCACATCCCACAGATGCTCGATTGGATTGAGATCTGGGGAATTTTGTGGCAGGGTGCATTATACTGCTGAAAGAGGCCACAGCCACCAGGGAATACCATTTACATGAAAAGGTGTACATGGTCTGCAACAATGCTTGAGTAGGTGGTACACTCTTAAAAATAAAGGTGCTTCACGATGCCATAGAAGAACCTTTTTGTCTAAATGGTTCCATAAAGAACCTTTAACATCTGAAGAACCTTTCGGTTTCACAAAAGGTTCTTTGTGGCGAAAGAAGGTTCTTCAGATTATAAAAAGGTAAGAAAGAGATTGTTCTTTAAAGAACCTTTGACTGAATGGTTCTTTCTGGAACCAAAAATGGTTCTTCTATGGCATCGCTTGAAGAACCTTTTGAAGCACCTTTATTTTTAAGAGTGTACGTGTCAAAGCGGCATGCAGTTCATGGTGTGTGTGTGTGTGTGTGTGTGTGTGTGTGTTCACTGATCATCGCTGTGTGTGCACACTTGGATTGGATAAATTGGCTAAATGTCACATTGCTTTCACTTTAGGTGCTTCCCAAATCGCATACTTATGAACTATTCTATGACGTTTTGTAGTATAAATAGTGTGAGTAGTGTGTTCACACTGAAAATTCCAAAAGGAAAAGGTGTTTTCTTTTCGGAAAAAATGAAGAGTGGAATGTTGGACACTTCATGCACTCAACTGTCGCAGCTTTAATTACGTCGCGGGGCTATCAGACTCTGATTATAAATGACAAAATAATCATATAATTCATACACTACATGGTTGAATACATAGTGCGTAAGTACATAGTATATAAGTGCATAGTGCGTCATTTGGGACGCATTTTTTCACTTTTTTATTAGCCAGCAGTTCAAATTACAAATAGAAATAGTTGTGTCATTAACACTGTAGTTCTAAAAGTTCTCTAAATATTTGTCAGGAGTGTATGCAGTTAATACTTCATGACATTGTCTGACACAAACTCAGTAAGTGATTTATTGTTTATTTTGGCAGATCTGCATCAACCACACAGAATTATTCAGTGAAGCTCCTCCCATAACAATCACACCTTCAGTGAAGCTCCTCTCACTGCAATTCAGCCAAATCAGCCTACAAGATGAGAATCAAAGCATC